AAACAGAGCTGAAGTCTGAGTCCGGGGAGGAGCAGAGCAGCCGCGGGAGGGGAAGTGCCCGGCCGGCATTTTCCCGGACATGTTCGGCTTTTTGGCAATTCCCCCTGGACGGGGGTTTGATTGCCGAAAAGCCGGACATGTCCGGGAAAAACCGGACGTATGGTAACCCTAGGCTAAACTAATTTTTGAAAGCAAGAATTTTTTGGCTTAATTTGTTCTGTTGCAGCACAAAATGCAAAATGGATCATGCTTAGTGAAACTTGTCTTCATGATGAAAACTTAAAATAGGCAATTAAATACTCAAGTTAGGGAATTTAAATACAAAGTTGTATTTTAAAATAACTTGAAGTAGAATATTTGCTTTACATTCTGCAACTAACTCCCCTAAATACCAAAAAAGCTCCGATCTTAACCCTGCTTTATGTGAGCCATATAAGGGTATTGAAATAATGCGTGATCTATCATCTTATGGGCTAAATTCTTACTTCAGTTACATTCAGGCAGTGCTGTTCATTTAAGTGGAGTAGCACGTATGTAAGTGGTGGGGAAGAACTTGGCCCTCTTTGTGTATACTGAAAATGTGGTAAATTTTTAACATAGCAAGTGCTGTTTGAATTTAGTAAGTTTCAGGTTAGACATATAGGTCAAGTTCTGGTGTGATATAAATAGCTCTTCCATAGCAGCTGTGATTATGGAAATCTGTGAAATACTAAGCACTAAAACAATGCTAAGCCTTTTCATTGACACTCTATTATATCCACAGACCACTTATATTATGGCTGTTGGAATACCATGTGAGGTGTTTTTCAGTTTGAATCCTTATGTTGGTTGACCTTGCTATCCCGACAATGTAGTTTGTTACTACATGTAGGTGTTTGGAATGCTTCCAGTGAAATTGCATTGAAAGTCCAGATTATCTAGTCCTGGTGCAATGTCACTGGAACTTTTGAGCACAATCATTCAGGAGTAGGGACTGCATAACGCCCGCTGAAGTGGATGGGAGTTTAACCCAAGGAAGAATGGCAGGATTAGGTCTATTAGGCTGTAGTTAATTCAGCATGCAAATAAAATATTATAAACTTACTGTTTTTTCTCATGCCTTTTTCAATATGAAATAACATACTCATTTTGAAAACAAAAAAGAATAGGGAAATGGATATTAATTTTGAACGATCAAACCTCTTTAGTTGGAGTGGGACAAAATTCTCACACAACCAAAACAATATTGTTTTTAAACAGTTCATTTCTAAATGATGATATCATCAGTTTATCTTTTGCTTTAAGAATAAAAAAAGTATATTGCAGCTCATAACTAGGGCCCTGATTCTGCAAGTGCACAGATGCTGTAAGCACATGAGTAGTTCTGTTGACTAATAATAGGGTTATTCAGTTATGTAACATTAAGTGCCTGTGTAACTGTTTGCAAGAGCGGGCCTTGGATATCAAGTATTAGCCCAATATGAGGTATAATGGCAACGTATAAACATCTGAAAATGGAATTTATAAGGAACCAGCAACTGATCCATACCGGTAGTGACTTCATCTGGTTCTGCTATAATGTTGTAAATGACTCAGCCACTTTTTGAAATTTAAACTTATAAAATAACATGAATGTAATCTATGCACAAAAGCTGTTCATTCTTTTAGCTTTATACCATAAGTGGTACAATGTATTTGCTATAGCACCAAGGTTTATTTAGTCTTGTGAAATTCTTGCTCATTTAATGATGCCAAATGTCGAAACAGCATTTGCTGTGCTAAGCATAAGTAGAGCAGAGAACAAATTTATCCAGTTTTAGAATTTGAAATATTTCAACCATGTTATACATAGAACAGATAAAATAGGTTTCTTCAGAAGTGATAATATCAGAACAATCCAACATGGGGATATTTATCTTCAGAAGATTATCACTTTTTCCCTTATAACGTGTAACCTTTTTTTTTTTTTTTTTTTTTTTTTTTTTTTTTTTTTT